TGTATATATATATATAATGTGTATGTGTGTATATATATATAATGTGTATGTATATATATATATATATATATATAGTTTGACCACTATTTGATTGTTAAGGTGATGTTTTAAATGCATTGCTGCATCACACTAAACTCTTCTGCTTAATGATTTCATCTCGTGCTTATCCCCGGAGGTGGTAATTACTGCCTTGCGTGCGGATGTGATAACCTTCGTCTGCTTGGTGATCATTTGCATAATCATTAGAAAAATTAACGTGCACTTTTTCCCGTTTACACCACAGGCTGATATGCAAGCGGCTGCTTTGTCATCTGGTAATTAATGAGCAGTGTAATGAGTTGTGTGTGCTCCCAATAAACGCCGCCTTTTATGGCTCTCTGTAGTTGGATTTAAGGGACTTGCCTCTTCGCCCCCTATTCAGTGCGACCTGACACCAATTCTGCTAAATAACACAAAGTCCCCAGAAACTGAGAACTGGTAAGCCCTTTAACCCAGGAACCATGAAGAGAGATGCTCAAGGGCTGATTCACAGAAAGCAGAGAGTCATATCTAGAAACTGCAGCCTGCGCAACAATCGTTTTAAGAAAAGAATGAGGGAAAACTTGACAGAATGTAAATTAGCAAAGTGCAATCAATCCTCAAAGCACTGTCAGTTCACATTTTCATTGTTACACAGATGTCAATTCATGTCCGAGTGCTGGGCAATTAACTGCCTAATCCAGTCATTTAATTTTCATTGAGCAGGTTGGGTGAAGGGGGGCTTCGTCCTTCACAGTCTCTGTTATTTCAGCCCCACACTGCGCTGTCAAACATCTGAGGTGACGCTCCAATCAGCGATGTTATAAGGGTACATTAAGTCAAAAGCCCCTTAATTTTTTGAATCAAAGTGCAAATGTAAAAAGAGAACATGATTGTGCATGGATTTCTAATTATATTCACCTGGGCCTTTCCTTATATTTGCTTATGAAGGTTAGTCTCAAATCTCCTCAGAGGGAGGATGTGAAGATGGCTAATAATGGCCCTAACCTATTCTCTTCCAATTTGACGTGTAAGAAAGGGCCAGACTTCCTGTGAAGTGCTCTTTCACCACAGAGAAATGTTACGTTCACAGGAGATGGATGGCCTCTCAGTACACTCACTTAGCCAGCAGCCCCTGGGTCCCCTTCACAGTCCCTACACCCTACTGAGTTTACAACATTAATTATAGACTTGTTAATAGCTATCCATAGAACATGCTTACATTAATATGCTTTGAATTTCACACCACCCACTCGTACACCAACACACCTATGCATACACAGACTGTTTGGCGAAAGGTTAGTTATCTGACAACAGTGACTTTCATATGCATGCAGAGAGAAGAAAGGGCCACAGTATCCTTATACTCTAAAATAGCGTTAATAGATATGCTTGAAATATATCAGTATATAATCTAATAGTGTTAATTGATTTACCAGTTTAATGCACGTGTTTGCAAAATGCTCACTACAGACTTGTTTTCCACTAAACTTGTGTGGATCTCATGTGAACTCCTTTAAATCGTGTGCTCGAGACTAGTAATTTCTATATTTCAAACTCCACAAAAGCTCATAATTCCTCTCACAATATTTTAGCAAGCATGTTGTGTATCACTTATTTTTCTGATTGTTTCGAACCTGAACTAGCGATGTCTGTTTTCAGAGTGAATCACACTTTTGAGTTGGTTCATTTCCGTGAATTTAGCGAATGATTCAGGTTGATTCAGGGTTGAACTGCTCACTCGAGTTGTTTGGAGAGATTTTCACTCGTAAAACAGTAACGTGGTTCTTAGAACGCAGAGGGCAACAAGAACGCTGGACGAAGTGGATATTTACACCTACAAACAACTGACACAATCTGCAAAAGCATCCTATCATTTTCCATTGATGCCGGTCTTTATTCAGTTCAACACCTGCACGACTCTGTACTGTAGGTAAAACATTTTCCAATTAAAAGAGTATCAAAACACTGGCAATATTAGTTAATACCATTTTAAAATACCATATTATTACCGTTTCTTACCTCCACATACTGCGCAGTCTTTGTACAAGTATAAAGAACATCTTTGTATTTTCTAAGTATATTTTGCATGCACTTTGTAGCTAACTTTACTGAAAACTTGTAACAAAAGTGTAAACATACTAAAAGTGTAACATGGCTAATGTTTATTTCTTTTTATGGTTATGCCTGTTCATGAATCAGTCAGCATGCAAATTCCGTATCTTCCCAGCATATCGAGTTTTATCTGAACCCATGCAACAGGTCTCTGCTTATAAAGAGTAATATAAGTCCCTCGGATTTATATTGAAGATGGTGGAGTGAGGATGTATGTATGTGTGTGTGTGTGATTCTAGAGGGGAATGAGTAGA